CACCAGGACGGACCGGTACAGCGCCCGCTTTACAGCAGATGCTGCGCCAATCCGCCTGTCGATCTCCCGCTCCCTGGAATATATGTAGACCAATAAATCAAGAGCATATAGTAAACCATGCAACTTGAAGCTACAGAGGTAATCCTCTTGTTTACAAGGGAAAACTCAAACACTGGTGGTGGTGGTGGGGGTTGTGAGGAGTTACACACCCATCCAAYGTTACACTGAGTATAACAAGAATAATGCAACACATGGTTTTGTAAATTTATTTAATTTTATATATTACCTGTAATAAAAGAACATTCACATATTTTATAACATTCTTCACACTTTTACCAAATCATTACAAATCACCATTTATAAGCAGAGAACAATGTATTTWATCATCACTTTAACGCAAACCATCAAAAATACATGTACCAACCAAATGAAGAGGTTCTGTTTAGATTATTAGAGAAGTAAGCACTAAAATAAAGTACAATACAAACATGTTTACTCCTTCATTAAAACTACTTGGGTTTGCATAAGTGAATGCACTGGAAAAAGGATTTATTAGTTTTACTTTTGTAGGACATGGATAAATGTTTGCTGTAGTTTGGAGCTAAAYTCTGAGTTAGCCTCTAGCAACTACTGAAGTAACAACTGACCTGAACCTGAGTTTTAAGTGTATTAAAATACAATCAACATGAGTTTACAGAAAATTCCAAACAGCTTGTAGATCATGACTAAAAAAAATAAAACAACAGAATAATGTCCTATGTGCTTTCTGGCTGTTGTAGGTTTAAAAGGACAAATGTGTTGCAGAAAACAAGCAGAATGACATGAAGGAAACACACATATGATGGGGAAATCCCAAAACAGTGTGCACTATAAAAAATTCACAAAGAACAAAACCTAAGCTGACAAATCTTCTCTGTGCTCCAGTGAATCTCTAAGGAGCTAAACAGCAYGAAAATGAGCTTTTAAACAGAATTAACGTGGGAGGACGACAAGGAGACCCATTGCAAAACAGCTGAATTACCAAATCACTGAGGAGCTAAAAGAAATAAAGCTTACTGGAAGCAGCAGGGTGTCCATCAACCAGTGAGGAGCTGTGTTGAAAGTGGATATTTCCACAGACACCACAGACTAATAATGAGGAGGGGGAGAACACAGCTTTAAACCTCTCATCTTGTCAAGCAAAAGAAATCCTGTACAAAAAATCTTGGTCGATGTGTAGAAAACTTCAATGAAATCGAGACTTAACAAAAGAGCAAACACCAAGAACAGCAGCAACAAACATAGCAGTAAAAGTGTTTAAAAGCCAACACTTCCTCGAGCCATGCAGTAACCCAGTTTGTTCTGGTTCCCRAGGAAAGACATGGCGCCCACATATGCCTCCACATAAATCGGCTGCTGAAGGACCAGGACCCCGTTGGCTTTCCCAGGAACTGGTTTTAGGGTGTGRGCTTTCTGTGCTGCATCCTTCAGCTGCTCTGCAAAGTTCTGGATCTGTGGACAAAATGATCAGAAACGCAGGTGCGTCAGAATGTATTTAACACTKTTAGCAATATTTATACTGCTGAGGATGGACATGTGGTTCATTTCTAACATGATGGGCTATATATGGAGAAAGACTTGTGTCAAAAAAAATAAGAGTGAGCGCAACATTTGTATGTGCTCTAATTCTTTCGCGCTCAAATCTTGTTGCACYCAAATCTGGTTTCTTACAAGCTGGTTGCTCGCTTGCTTAAATCTTGTAGCCCTTAGTTGAATGCTATAGCACAAGCTCAAATTTTGTTGCTTGCTCACTTGGCTCTTGTAGTGCAAGCTCAAAGCTTGTTGTGTTCTCTCAAAGCTTGTTCCATGAGCTCAAATCTTGTGATCGCTTAAATAATGTATCAGCTCTATTATGCTGTGCTCGTTCAAATCTAATTGCACTTGCTCAAATCTTGTTGCATGAAGTCAAATTTAGGGGTGTCCYGATCCGATATTGATATAGGTCCAATATCAGCCAAAAAACAATTATCAGATTTTATTGGCCTGCATCTAAAATCTCCAATAAATAAGCATTCTGATAGAAGCAGTCTGTTCCACCAGTCCGCTCCAGCTTCTCTATCCAGCAGTGCTTGGATCCAGCATGCAGAGCCCATGTGATCACAACAACATGCTGCGCTAACAAGTTAGCAAGAAGTAGGAGCGATGTCGGCAGTACTTTCTATGTTCATCAAAAACAGAGTTGCAGCTAAGTGCAAAATTGTCACGCACAAGTTTTCAATGGGGGAACAGAACCGTGTACATTTTAAACCAGAGAGAACCAAGCTCTATTCTCCACCCCTGGCAGCAGCTATGCAGTTCGGCTTGGGTCCAGTGTGTCTCCATGGTTCCAGTTTCAGAACGTCTTCTCTGGTCCGGTCAGTGGTTCTATAAGCGAGGACAGCACGCTTACGGTTTTGACATTAGCAGAATGTTGCCCGTGGATTAGCTCTGGGATTGATTGACAGAAGAAAGGAGAGTGCAGCTTTTGTTTTGGAATACGAGCAYGACATGGCGAGAGCAGTGCTAAAAACTGCTCCCTGCAGGAGCGAAAGGCTAATCTCCAYGTGATGCTCAGACTGTAGAAAGTGGAAATACAGCAGTAAGAAAGGTCAATCAATTAAATTAACAGAATAATTTTTACAATTTTTTTTGCTCTCGTTATTAGAGTGATGTTTAATCKGTTTACACACTTGTTTGAGTGAAGATTAAGTGCAATGATCATGTTGTTTTGGGCAGTCAGTAAAATTGGAGCTGTGGACTCTTAACTTTGAACAGATGGACATTGGACAATAATGTCGGGTTTTGTTTTGTCCCCACCTTCAGTTTTTCCCACCATAAAGCAGCACCAAGCTGACAGATAGTAAAAAAAATAACTGGAGTGACTTTGAATTGTTATTTTTTATTATGTTTTATTTTTCAGGGTCTTCTAATTTATTTTATTAAGTTGTAGAATTTTCTTCAGTTTAAAATGAATGTGATCCATTGGTTGAAAATAAATGGGTCAATATTTCTCATACCTACTCTTTTTCACTGTTTGACTTGATCAAGACTTTTCTAAGATTTCACACTATAAAATAGGTAAAAGTGTGTGATTCGTACTGATATGTTATCGAGTCAATATTGGTATCGGCCAATTCTCAAAGTTGCAATATTGGTATCGTTTCGGAAGTGAAAAAGTTGTATCAGGACACCCCTAGTCAAATTTAGCTGCACAAGCTCAAATCTTGTTAGCACAACAGCTCAGTTGTTAGCACCGATGCCTCACAGCAAGAAGATCCTGGGTTCGATCCCCAATTTAGACCTGGGGTCTTTTTGTGTGGAGTTTGCATGTTCTCCTCRTGCCTGAGTGGGTTTTCTTCGAGTACTCTGGTTGCACCCACAGCACAAAACATGTACAATAGGTTGCCTTCAGGCCCAGGTCTCTCTTGAAAAAGAGATCTGTGATCTCAWTGGGACTTTCCTGATTAAAGAATGGTAAAAAAAATCTTGTTGTACAAGGTTCATTATTTTAGTCTTCACTTGAATCTTTTAGTATGAGCTCAATTTTTGTAGTGCTAGCTCAACTCTTGTGTGAGCTCAAATCTTGTGTTCGCTATTGAGGTGTTAACTCATTTTTGCTTGCTTGCTCAAATCTTTTTGTGCAAGCTTAAATGCTACTGTATGAGCTCAAATCTTGTGCTCACAAGACTCTTGTAGACTCTTTCTAGATTCTCAATATTTTTGTTTACTCAAATCTTGTTGCTCTCRCTCAAACCGTGTTGCATGAGTTTGAGTATTATTGCAAGAGCTCAAATCTTGTAGCGCTCGCTGAAATCTTGAGGTGCAAACTCGAATCCTTTTGCTCGCTCACTTGAATCTGGTTGCACAACGTCGAGTCTTATTGCGTGAGCTCAAATCTTGTTGATAAAGCTCAATCTCAAATATTTTGCTCACTAGCTTAAATATTATTGCACGAGTTTGACTCTTATTGCATGAGCTCAACTTTAGTAGCACTTGCTTGAATCTTGAGGTGCAAACTCAAATCTTTTTGCTCATTTGTTTGGATCTTGTGGCGCATAACTGAACCTTGTTCCGCTTGATTGCATCTTGTCACATTTGCTTGAACCTTGACGTGCTTGATCGAAACTTTGAGTTTGTTTCCACACCTTTTTTTATCCCACTCTTAATATACTCTAAAAGCGTGTTTGAGCGCAGTAAGATGGCRTCTCCATCTGTAATRCTACGTTCACACCAAACGCCCAATGCCTCCAGTTGGATRCGCTACGTTCAGACCAGSACACAGACCAGATGCGCGTCTGACGAGGGAGGAGCGTCTTGGTTTTTGCCAGTCTGTCTCAACRGCGGATGAAATAAAGATAAAATAAAGAAAATAGCTTTGCGTTATTTACTAAAGAGCAAGCAAACATTGCRYACACSAGATAATTAATTCACCAGATGATTTAGAGGYGGTCTGTTYGGTKAGTTTCACCACTCCAGGAGCTGCGAGCTGATGAACGATTTTTTTGTCCTGAGCCCAKTTTAACACYGCGGTTTGTTTAAMGAGCTGCTGACCCACATCGGTGTTGATWTCTCYAGCCAGAACACCAACTGCAGAYRGTYGATTTCAGCTAAMGAGCYCCTGTCCATGTTTTTYAGGTTAGTGSACAACATTCAGGAAACCGTCACGTGGAAAAATTAGTATCTCTGATTGGTTGAYGCYGCGCGCCGAGCAGCAAAAGTTCMGATTTTTGAACGAGCGTCGGCYGTTTTGGACGCACYGCATGCACGGAAAATGCTCAACYACACCTTCCACTTCCTTGCGTGCCRCGCTAAAYGGACTTGATGCACCGCGAGACCCCTAGAGGCGCATCCACCATAGACTTTCCTGTAAACCAGCTGCTTCTGCAGCTCAAAACGCATTMGGTTTGAACGTAGCATAACTTCTGGACTGCCAGAGGGAGAATCAACACAGAGCGGGCTGTTTAGCATTTAGCAGTACTGTCTTCTGAAAAAGCATCAGACAGAGTGAGGACTTTGATGAGGAAGTGGAACATCCATAACGGAGCACCGAGCGGCACTCAGAGGTCTAAACAGATGGTGGGGACAGTGCAGCACGTCTACCCAGTCTAAAMCCCCCTGGCTCATACAGAACAGGCTCTCCTTGTTGAGCAACAACTTCATTATGAACAGTTCAACCTTCTTCTTCATCACTTGCAGATAATTCAATAWAGATGTCTCCGAAATCACTTGAACTTTCTCTACAGAAATTGTCCTTGACAGAATATGCCTCTAAAATGGCTGTGTCTCAATTCAGGGGCTGCATCCTCATGAGTGTGCATTTGTCAGCCACATATGTCATTGCCCCACACCGAGTGCTGTCCAAAGTGGAAGGCTCCTTATCATGTGGCCCACAATCTCTCAAAAACTGAGGATTGATTTGTTTATCCTCACCAGTCGAGGATTTCCCAGGATTCAATGTGTGGGCAGCAAACTAAACAGAGAAACAATAATGGTGGAGTTTTTAATTTTTAAACGAGTCGGCGTAGTTTGGAAATTCATCGCAGATCTAAGAATTTGTTCTCAAAAGTAAGTTTAGCAACTTAGCTGATGAGATTCATGCTACAATAAGGTGTTGAATAAAAAAAACTGCAAGTGCTGATACAGGAGCTAAACCCAAACTATTGATTTTATTTTTTTATTTATTTCCGTGTAACATTTTAATCGTGAAGTTATTCTTCCAGTGAAAAGACGTGTAAATACACGTCCCAATGCATTTTCAGTCTGATATGAAACTGATCACTATGGTAMCGGGGCGCGTGGTCATGCAAACTTACRTCAAGCGAAGGCTACACMGTCTCAYTTYACAGCAGTTTTAAGTAGCCTACCCGGACTGGGAAGGAAGTGGTCCACATTGTACAGGTGGGCTACGTACACATGAAGACCCAGCCCATGAATAGACTCATCTAATGTGCTGGTCCTTGATGTCATCAGTCTTTGGCTTTATGTGTTTCTGTGACTAGTTTGTTTTTTAACATTTGCAAGGCCTGAATGCAAATACGTATATACAGTGATGTGAAAAAGTGTTTG